GTGTGGACCTGTCTTTCTAGCCACTAGGAAAGCGGAGGTGAGAGGATTGCTTGAGCCGAAGAGATGGAGGTTGCAGTGAACCGAGGTAGCGCCACTGCGCTCCAGCCTGGGCAGCAGAGTGAAAACCTGTCTTGCAAGAAAAAAAAAAAAGGAGTGTGTCCCTTATAACGTTCAGACTCAGCTCATAAAATCCAAAAGAAACACGGACTTTTGAGTGTGCTAAAATGCAGCACTGAGGGAACAACCAGAAAGTGGGTAGAAATCTTTCTCTTTCTGTTCTGTCCCTGTGCACTACAGCGACGGGGAACAGTATGAAGACATTTGACAATTCACATTTGGATTCTATCACAGGCTCAAATTCTCTTATCTCCACCTTTCATGAGTTTCACCGTAAGAATTCTGTGGTAGTTTGAGGAACTCAACCCAGCTGCAAGTATTTCTCTGTAATCTGCTCTGATCCGCGTTGCTTGAAGCATCGTGTGAGCTCATGTCATTCCCCGGATGACAGGTGCCACCCCCAACTTAGTGTTTCAATGCTTAGTCATCCACAGATGCACTCTGCCGTCCCCGTGAGATAAGCTGCAATCTCAATGCGTCTGACTGGTTCCCAGGTCACAGTGCCCATTGCAGCGATGAGATTTGGGAAAGGCGATTTCTTTTGTCAGGGTCTGTACCACTGGAGAAGAAGTCCTTTGAACCAGAAATTTAAAAAGATTAGCACTGTAAAAAGTCTATCTGCGGCTCCTCCAAGCAACCGACTCTGGAATTGGCTTCTGATATTAAAAGATGAGTGACAGATGTGCTGTGGTTTCCTCTACAGAACGTTCAGACCAGAACATCCCTGGAGGACCACGCCCGAAATGCAGCTGAGGCACCCGGAGGCCGAACAGAAGACGGGCCCTCATCAGAGAGAAGGGACGGTCCCAGCAGTCCAAACCCCGGGAGGCTCCGCCCTGACCCGCGGCCACACGTGTCTGCTGCAGGACTCAGCGAAGACAACGGCCTGGCCGGGCGGGGAAGAGGCACACGGAGACCCGCAGCAAAGAGGGACGGGGACCCTGCCCGCGGGAGCCGCCGGTCTGAGGCTCAGGAGGGGATGTGCAAAGCCTGAAACGCATCGATGATGGCCGGTGATGGAGACGTGTAGGGGGCCTGCCTGACGGCGACACGGACAGATCTGAGCTCACGCATCCTCGGGAGAAAAAATGACTCGGTGGGAATGGACATGAGACACTGGGCCGCATTCCCCAACTCGCAGAGCTGACTGGGAAAGGCTTCTGGAAGCTTCGGTCGAGTCAGACTTCGCAGGGTGCTGTGAGCCCGGGCAGAGAGAGCCCTGGGTGTCCAGGGATGGCAGCGTCGCTAGAGGAAGGAGACACCATGAAGATGGGGTGGAAGCTGCCCACCGTGCGGTGCTGAGAGGAGCACACACATGAACACACCCTTAACACACCTCGGGACACACAACCCAGGACACACACAGCCCCTCACACACCTCAGGACGCACACACGGCCACTCACACACCTCAGGACACACATACGGCCACTCACACACCTTGGGACATACGCACAACTTCTCACACACCTCAGGACACACACACAGCCACTCACACACCTCAGGACACACACACAGCCACTCACACACCTCAAGACACACACACAACCACTCACACACCTCAGAACACACACAACCCCTCACACACCTCAGAAAACACACACCCCTCACACACCTCAGGACACACACACAACCACTCACACACCTCAGGACACACACACAACCCCTCACACAACTCAGGAAACACACACACAGCCCCTCACATACCTCGGGACACACACACAACCCCTCACACACCTCAGGACACACACATGCCCATGGTGAGAATGAGGCAGCGGGACAGCAGTGCGTTCTGTTTCCTCTTTGTGGTATTTTCTTCATTCATTCGCGACGTTGGCGTTTGCTGCCTGTTGTGTGCAAGTCTCTTACAGAAACAACCGAGTGACACACGTCCCAGGCAGGCGCAGGGGAGCCACAGCTGTGTGTTTTCCATACACAGCAGCGTGGATGGGAAGGACGGCCAGGGTTTAACGGGAACGTCATCTCTCCTTGCTCCCCGTTCTCTAGCACAAAAACCACACAGACAGTTAACACGGAGATGCATTTGGGGTGAAATGATGAAATTCTGAATCCTGTCTCCTACTTAAACTCGTATATATTATTTTCCATTCATAAAAATGTTTTTTTTAGTAAATAACTTGGCATCCAAAGAATGTCTATACTTTTTCAGGAATGTCTCTTTGGAGAAATGAGCTCTTACTCTACATTGCATATTGAACATTTGCTATTAAGCACATTTTTTTGTGAATTGGGAGGAGCCGTTTGACTCTCTCCAGTGTCCTTTGTGGATGGATGGGGTCCACTGACGCTGAGCTTCTACATCAGAATTGCAGGCTTCGATGTTTAATTGCGATCTGAGCTGGCACAGTGGTGACGCTGAGGGAGGCACTCACGCCCCTTTAAGACAGAAAGTCCGTTGGAAGCGTCTGCTGCCCTCTGGGCTCTGGAGAAGAGGCGGGAGGGCTCGGGGACGGCCGTGGGGACACGCACAGATCATCCCGTCCTGCAGACGTGAGCGTTGGGGACCAGGTGAGGTGACAAGGTCTGGTGCTGGGCTGAGGGAAGGGTCTTCTCCGGACTGAGAGGGTCACGAGTTTGGGATATCCCCTCGAAGGAGCGGGAAAGAAGTCGCTTTCTCAGGGCTGTGAGGATCGCGGACCCCAGCCCACTTGCGCAGAAACTGTCCCAGTCCCCGTGGGGAAGGAGCGGCCAGTGATCCGGTGACCGTAGGTCTTGCTCTTGACCTTCGGTTCGCTCCCAGCAGGAGACTCTCTTTTCAACAGCATTTCTCCAGTCACTGTGGTGAAGCTGTTCATGCTCACGTTTTATACAGTTAGAAGTTTGTGAATAAACAGTCGGGGTTTCGTTGGGGACCGCTGGCTTCCTACAACCAAGAGGGCCAGACGAGGGCAGAGGCGGCTTTCAGAGAGGACCCTGCAGGCTTGCAGGAAAGCTTTGCCTTTTCTCTTGCATTTTTGTTTTCTGATTGCTGTGAGCTTCCTAGAACGGGCATAAATGCCGAACATATAAAAAGGTGTTTTTTTCCACATCTTCACCATGAGTTCACAAATGTCACCCTGATGGTTCAACACTCAGACTCAACACAATGGAGAGTCTCCTGTGCCCCTCCAGATGGGTGCTGATTAAAGGTCTGAGAATTCCCTCAGTGTCACACACAACCATCCATTTACACCCTGCTCACACCTGGTCACACTTCACGACCATCCCAGTCACACCCCACTCATACGCCCATGACCATTCCACTCACACGCACTCACATCCCACAACCATCCCACTCATACCCGCTCACACTCCCACAACCATCCCACTCACACCCTGCTCACACCCCCACAATCATTCCACTCACATGCACTCACATCCCACAACCATTCCACTCACACCCATTCATACCCCCATGACCATCCCACTCACACCCTACTCACACCCCCATGACCATCCCACTCACACCCCCATGACCATCCCACTCACACCCCACTCACACCCCCACAACCATCCCACTCACACCCTACTCACACCCCTATGACCATACCACTCACACCCACTCACACCCCCACAACCATCCCACTCACACCCTACTCACATCCCCATGACCATCCCACTCACACCGACTCACACCCCCACGATCATCCCACTCACACCCACTCACACCCCCATGACCATCCCACTCACATCTCACACCCCCATGACCATCCCACTCACATCTCACACCCCCATGACCATCCCACTCACACCTGCTCACACCCCCATGACCATCCCACTCACACCCGCTCACACCCCCATGACCATCCCACTCACACCCGCTCACACCCCCATCACCATCCCACTCACACCCACTCACACCCCCATGACCATCTCACTCACATCTCACTCACACCCCCACGACCATCTCACTCACATCTCACTCAGACCCCCACGACCATCCCACTCACACTCGCTCACACCCCCACGACCATTCCACTCACACCCACTCACACCCCCATGACCATCCCACTCACATCTCACTCACACTCCCATGACCATCCCACTTACATCTCACTCACACCCCCAACCATCCCACTCACACCCGCTCACACCCCCATGACCATCCCACTCACATCTCACACCCCCCCGACCATCCCACTCACACCCACTCACACCCAGACCATCCCACTCACACCCTACTCACACCCCCACGACCATCCCACTCACACTCACTCATACCCCTATGACCATCCCACTCACTCCCACTCACACCCCCAAGACCGTCCCACTCACACCCGCTCACACCCCACACCCCATCATACCAGCTCACATCCTGCTCACACCATGTGACCCTCCCACTCAGACCCCATCCACACCCCACAACCAATCTGCTCACACCCCACTCACACCCCACAAGTATTCCACTCACATCTCGCTCACAACTGCTCACACCCCACAACCATCCCGCTAACACCTGCTCACACCAGCTCACAACTGCTCACACCCCCCACACCTGCTCATACCCACTCACACCCCATTCACATCACATTCATACCCACTCACATCTGCTCACATCTGCTCACATCCTGATCACACCCCATGACCATCCCACTCACACCTGCTCATACCTCTCTCTGGATGGTGAGAGTTCATTAGGTGTCAGGCCAATCTTCTAGGAACTGAGCGTTTTCCATGGAGGGTGCTGGAAAGCCAGGTGTGGACGGCTCAGTCCCCTCTGTCTGTGGTGTCCTTTCACCTGGTCAGCCTCCCGCTTGGGAACGTGCACAGGACCTGGCGGGGAAGAGCGGCTGTGGTTCCTGCTCACCCTTAGGTTGAGGCTGAGCCTTCAGGGGTAAGGTGATTGCATTCAGGCGTCCCCATGGCCCTTCCTTTCCAAACCAGGATGCTGGAGGGTCAGCTCGAAGCTGGGGAGCCCAAGGAGGACACCCACCAGAGGACCCATGCCTGGGAACTGGGGCTGACACAGAGAAGACAGCTGTGCCAGCCGAGGTACCCAGGGAGCACAGCAACACCCGGGAAGATTCTGGTGAGCTGAGCTCTGTGGGGACAGAGTTAGTCCCACCAGGCGGGATCCTGATTCCTAGCCCTGAGGCCTGTCATTGGACTTTCCCTCACCGGACCCCTGTAGGAAAGTGCCACCCCAGGATGCGGGTGCTGTACCCCCTCTCCAAGGGCACCTGGCTCTTGTCCTCTGCAACCTTCTCTCTTGGTGGATGGGAGGCAGGGCGGGGAGTTAAAGAAAACATGAACATTCCAGCTTCTCTCCGCTCGTCCAGGAGAAGGCACCAGACTTTAAAAACTTCATTAAAGAAAATCAGAAGGTTGACATGCCTCACATCATCCCAGCAAGCTTCCTGATTTTTACCAACTTCCTCGCCGGACCCCGTTGGACAGTGCTCACTCTCATTAAAGTCTCATAGGTCCCTGTGGCCAGGGCCACGCAGTGCGGGACTGTACCTTTATCACCATCCTGCTGCTTCTCAGGGCAAGGCTGCAGCCTCCATGGTCCAGTGAAGGACAGGAAGGCTGACATGTCAGGCTGAAATGCAGTGCCTTCCAGCGTTTTCAAACAGTTGACTGTACAGCCAAGCCAGTGCGGTGTTTGAGGTTGACCTGACAACATGGCCAAACCCCGTCTCTACTAAAAATACACAAATTAGCCAGGTCTGATGGCATGTGTCTACAACCCCAGCTACTCAGGATGCTGAGGCACCAGAATTGCTTCAACGTGGAAAGCAGAGGTCGCAGTGAGCTGAGAGTGCACCGCCGCACTCCAGCCTGGGTTGACAGAGCAAGACACTGTCACAAAACAGAAAAAAAAGGGAAACGAATGCCAGCTTCTTTTGCTGTAATAGTGTTTTAACAAAGAATCATAGTTCACTACCATCCTTGTCTGGTTATATTATGTGCACTAACTCATAATAAACACTACTTAATAAGAATAAAGCTGTGGCCAGGCATGGTAGCTTACACCTGTAATCCCAGCACTTTGGGAGGCTGAGACGGATGGACCACTTGAGCCCAGGAGTTTGAGACCACTCTGGGCAACATGGTGAAGCCCCATCTCTACTAAAAGAACAAGAATTAGCCAAGCGTAGTGGTGCATGCCTGCAGTCCCAGCTGCTGGGGAGGCTGGGGCAGGAGGATCACTTGAGCTCATGAAATTGAAGCTTTGGTGAGCTGAGATCATGCCACTGCACACCAGCCTGGGTGAGAGAGTGAGACACTGCCTCAAAAAAAAGGGAAGGAAAGAAAGAAAGGAAAAGGCTGTGGTAGTCCTGTTTATCCCATCGGTGTCTTGTTGTCTAGAAATAGTCAAGCTTGCATCAGAGAGGGCTTGGGTATTTTGCAGAGGAATGTGGTGGTGTGATGTCTGAGAGGTTTTCTGGTGTTCTCTTCCCAATAACAGCCATTACAGCAGCAGATCACCAGACTTGACGAAGAGCTCGGGAGGCAGGAGTCGCTGTGGGCTGACGTTCACAGCCCTCCTCCTCCTCAGAGGGCAGAGGAGTGGTGAACAATGTAGCATTCCAGACCTGAAATACCTCCTCCCACCCGAAGGGTCACGGGTTGCAGGTGAGTCTGCTGATCACAGGGAAGGTTGGGAGTTTGCATTTCGGATCTCAGACCAGTTGCAGAGACAGCACTAGAAGCAGCATCCCATTTCCTCCTCGTTAACACATTCCCCCGGGAAGACGCCTGAGCCTAGAGGAAGACTTGTTGGGCACTGTTTATTCTGTAGCCTTGAGAATCCCGTGATCATTTTGAAACAAGGAACCACAATAAGAAACGCAAAGCAAACTGTGTCCTTCTGCAGGAAGCCAGGGTGAAATTGTCCAGATTCTGTGACAGCGGGTGTGATGTGTTGCCTAACATTTAAATAATATGATGGTTACTAATGCAAAAATATTCCCACATTTACTTTCAGCCAATGAGTTCAAAGAGACAAAGAATTAACTCGGGGCCAACACCACCACAGGAAGACGGAGATAAAAGTCCTTCCGGGAGATGCCCAGACAGCAGCGCCACACGCACTGGAAGGCCGACTCCCTGGGCGGAAAGACGGGGGCATCTGAAGACGGAAAGGGGACCGTGAAAGCCTGTGCTGCTCTCCACTGGCCGCATGGAGAATTCAGATTCAGATGAAGTTCCACTTCCGCCTAATGAGAGTTCTCACTTTGTTATTCAAAACGGATCTAGTAATGTACTAAAGTACTTATGTTTCTATAGATAAAACCTTGAATTTCTCCAGATGTGTCCTTAATGCTAAGACAGCAAACAAGTTGAATGCGGTTTTAAACCCAGTTGCTTTCTTGAGCCCTGTGGTTGGTCTATTTCTGCAGAGCCTTTAGAAGAACTGACCTACCTTGTTGTGCTGAGTGCAGGGCTCTGGGTGAGCCCTAGGGTCTTGCTGGAAATCGTGCATGGCCATAGATGGCTTTGTGCTCCGGCCTCTGGGCTCCAGGCATTGCCGGCTGCAGGGACCTGTGACTGTCGTTTCCCGAGGCTATGCATCCATCTTCCCGAAGTCCACAAAACTGGAGTGGCAGAAAATCACGAGTACAGGCTTCCCAGGCCGCCACGCTGCAGGAGCGGATGGCGGCAGTCGGAGGAGATGGTGAGCGGGACAGGGACCCCTACCTATTTCCATGCGTCCTGTAAAACACGGGGCTTTCCTGTGGACGTGCATGAGCAGAGCGTTTCACTACAGCAAGGACACGTCCTTCATGAGCTGCCTAATTTCTGGCCACTTTTTATCTGATTCCCTGTTGGGTCCTCACCTGCGTGTCTTGCCGCCACCCCCAGCCCCACCCCCCAACACGGAGCTCACATGCTGGCCTCCAGGGACCGCGGCTGGAGATTCCGAATCCTTCCGTCTGCTTCCCTCTGAGCGCACTCCCAGCAGAAGGCATCTGGATGGGGCTGGGTGGACTCAGGGGGCTTTGTTCCCCTTTTTCTGTTTGCCAGCCCGTGCCATTGCCTGCAGCCCTACCAGAGTGCCCTCTCATCCCGCACCTGCCCGGCCGCTTTCCCAAACACCAGCTCTGTCCATGCAGCTGTGGGAATTTCTGCATTGGGGGTCCCACCAGGAGGGGCCAAGACTACCCTGTGTGAGTCAGGAAAGAACTCCTTCCCCACGTCGCTGCCGGAAACTGACCATAGCAGCTTCGGACCCCCACAGGAGCCTTTCTCGGTGAAGAAACAGAACCCATTGGTGGCCGAGCCTCAGGTGTGGCCGGGCCTCAGGTGTGGCCCTTATGCACAGCACTGCCCTAGCCTGTGGGCAGCACCCGCCCTGGGCTGCCTGGCAGCTGGACTCCTTCCCATCCTCGGCCCAGGCCTGCTTGGCCCTGCAGGGCGAGCCTGGCACTGTCTTCCTCCAGAGTCCACTCCCAGGGCCTCCTGCCTACCAGCTGCTTCATGGCCTTTCGGGGAGCTCCATAGATGTGAGGCCAGGGCCCTCTCTGCTCAGACCCCCGCAGGCTCTGCGTGCTCTCACGGTCCCTCTGCACTCCTCTGTGGGGTGGGGACGCTCTTCCCAGTGGGTCTGCACCAGCTTGGCTGCTTTTCTTCTGCTGCCGCCTCCCCCTCAGGCCCCCGGACAAGTCCTCAGTTTACTTGCTGGTGCCTAGCAGAAGAGGACGCCTTGTCTCCTGCACACCTGCTAGCGCCTCTGCAACCTGACAGTGATGCCATCCTGGGGAAGCTTCCCTGAACCCAGGCTCTCCTGGAAGCCCGTGGTGCCCCTTCACAGCAGCCCCTGTCTCTTCATAGGTCACATAAGCCAATGGCTCAGGGAATGGCCTTTCTCTCCCGTGTCTTCCTGCTGCGGATGATGAGCAGCTTCAGGGCCAGGGCAGTGCCTTCCTCCGTGAATCTCTTCACCCATCAGAATACTTGAAAGAGAGCGATGGCTAAGAAATACTGACTGAGTATATTCATTAAAGAATTAGTGTTACTTACACAATCAAATGTCATGTGTCGTTGAAAGGACCTGACGTGTGTACCGTAATCTCATGAACGACAGAGAACATGTTCACAAACAGCTTAAATTGGATTTAGCAATCGTGTTAGGATAATGACGTTTCCACAGTGTATATGTACTGTCCTTTTAAACCGAACTTGCTTGCTTTTTCGACGGAGGCTCTTCAGTCTTAGAGAGTTCTGAAGGTGGATTTCTCAGCCACGTTCAACCTGATGAGCTCACCGGTTCTTCCGCAAACACTGCAGAGCTGAGGGTAGGCGGGTTGAGTGGCTTCTGCGTGGGTGGCCCGCCCGGCTCCCCTGAGAGAGACCTGTGAAGTCACTTTTCATCCTGGGGAAGTGAGATCTGGAGCGGGTGTCAATAGATGGTGGCATCTTCCCGTCTTCTGGACAAGAACAGAAAATTAACATGGTTCCAAATGTCTCTTTATTTCCCGAGCTTCAGCCTTTCACACAGAGACATTACTTTCTTATAGATTTAAGTTGGTTGCATTTAGCACATAGTCAGACAAGATTCAGATTTTTCACGACTTCAGAGGTCCCCAAGTCAAAGTTTCATTTTTATCATTTTGATTTGCAGTTCTCAGTTGACATTAATAGACTGGAAGGGAAGCGTAGCAAACATGCTTCTAAGCCCCAGCTCGTGGGCCAGTCATGACACACCACATTTTACAGAAATGTCAATGAAATATGATGATCTTCTCTACGGCAGGAAATGGAGGCTGTGAGCTTACGCGTGGTGTGAAAGTAGGCACCTGGCGAGGAAGCGTCAGAACCCAGGTGCCCCTTGTTCTCCATTCTCCCAGGAAAAGCCCACATTCCGTTCCGTCCTCTCCCACATCTTCAGCGGGTGGACGAGCGGGAATATTTTCCTGGGGTTTTATTTTGTTTGGGGACCCAGCCAAGCCTCAGGGCTGACGGTCTGCATTTAGAAACAGTGCCGCAGCCATGGCGGGTGGTGCCTGTCTGTGTGTTATTTGTATCAGGTGTTGACTGTGGCAGTTGTCACTGTGGCCACCCTGACCCCAGAGCACATATACAAGTGGGAGATAACCCCTCTAATAAACACAGAACGTGGTCCAAAGTCCTGGTGCTGACTGCCCGGGGCCCAGCCGCGCCCACCGACTTACAGACAGGCGCTGCCAACGCCAGGGCAAGGCGCGTTTCTCCCGCCTCCTACTGCAGTGTTCACGGAGACACGCGGGACTAGGGTTATGCTCTTTCTGCAGAATCTTCCCGAAAACCCAGCATCTTCCTGAGAAACGGCACAGGCCAGCAGTGGCGCGCACCGTCAAGGTCTGCTTGCTGGATGGTTGACGTTTAAGAAGCCAAGCGTTTGCTTTATTCACTGTGTATTTTCTCAGTTGAATTCGCTCCTGTATTTCTGAGCTATGGTTAAGACTGGCAGTGTGGCACAGATAAAAAAAAACACACACACACACACACACATTTTGCCATTTGGAATTCTCACATGCACTCATCTTAACTCCCCAGATCTTGAGATTATTTTCTTCTGACAATCTTTACATGAGTAATATTTTCAATGCAGAGATGAAGATATTTTTTCTACATTCCTAGTGCAGCATTGCGCATATGAGATTATATACCATTTACCGATAGCTAATTAGAATCAATAAATCTTTGAGGTGGACTGTAGGAGTGTATAGATCAGAAGAATGGGGCTGAAAGGAAAGAAAAATGTCCCAAGAATAATTTTTACATAGTAATTACCACAATTCCTATGGCCCAGGATTCTAAACTCACCAAATCACTGCACGTGGATGATCTCGACTGATGGCCACTGTGTGACCTGAGCTTTTATGAAAGACAGATGTTTGTGGGACAAATCGTAACACTTATTCATTATCGATAACCACATTCGGGATGGGAATTTACACCTGACCAATTTAGTGAGTACGTTTTTGAGGGAAGTATCACAGCTGGTGCAGAGAATGCCATGCGGGCGATTGTCACATAACGATTCTGAATGGAAGAAAAAATAACGAAACCACAATAATCATCTTGGAGTTTTTGTGTTTCTGTACAGGTAGGATGGGCACCGAGCAAAGGTCGTGCCATCACCACCTTCCCTGACGCCAGCCAGAAGGAGCCGAGAGCCGGTAAGCAGACGACCGTCATCCGGTTTTCTAATGGCGACATGAAGAAGATCACGCCCGATCAGAGTGGTGAGTACAACGGATGTATCTGTTTAAAATCAAATCAGAACCAAGTCAGTTATTAGCAAGAATTTTGCAAATCCATACCTGGTTCCCCTGGGTGTTCGGGGTATGGGCTGGGGGGGGGGGGGCTTGCAGAACACAGGCTGTGGCGTCGGGCGGGCCTGCCTGTGAGCCGGGCTGCTCTGCCCCCGCGTGCGCTCAGGCAAGTGAGACCTCGACAAGACCCTCAGTGCGTACACCAGCACCCTCCTGGCTCTGAACTCCCGCTGTATTGTTCTGTCCTTGTTTTCAGCTTTTCCAAGCCTCTGCAAAATGTGGCTGATCATTAGGACCTAACTCAAAAGATGGTTATGAAGTAACATAGTCCATTAAATAGTGTCTCCTCTGCAGAACTCTCTAGAAAGACCACGGTAAACACTTAGTAAATGTGCGCTGATGGCAGAGTAGCACTAGTATTGCCACAAAGTTAGGCAGGGGCAGGAGCTAATCCCTGGCCCAAGCTGCAGATGTGATCCGTGGAGAGGCTTTCACAGCTGGGAGGAGGCACCTTGCCCAGCGGCCGCCTCATGGTGGAGCAGAGTGTGTTGGCTTGGGGTCCATAGGCTGGGCCAAATCGCAGCTCTGCCAGACCAGCTGTGCCAACACCAGCCAATGAATTGATCTCACCAGGCCTCCATTTCTGCATTGAAAAAATCAGGAAATACTTCCAGTCTGGTTCTCAGCTGGGGGTAACTATTGTCCCTGTCCTGGGGACATTCGCAGTGTCACAGTTGGGGGTGATGGGAGTGCTACTGGCATCTGGAGGGGGGTGCTGGAACCCTCCCAGACATCCCAATGCACAGGACAGCCCCCACCCCCACGGGGTGATCCAGCTCCAAGTGTCAGTGGTTCTGGGAAAGCCCTCTGTAGGTAATGAGAAGGGCCACAGTTAGACCATGCATGTGTTTCTCGGTACACATTGCTCAGCAGCTGACAGCTCTGCTACCATGATGGCAAACCTGCTAAAAGCAGATGCTGCATTTGTGGAGGAAAGCCACACATCACAGGAGCTGGGGACCCCCTTGATGCTGAGGAGCTGTGAGGATGCTGTGACCCCCCGTGGTTCACACTGCGTGTCTCTGTGTGTGCAGGGACTGTATATGGAAAACACAGATGCTGAAGAGTCTGGAGGTCTTACAGGCAAGATTTCCAGGGTGGCAACTTTGTGCAGCTACCCCAGGGTGTAACTTGATTCTACCTTAAGAAAACATGAATAATTTACAAAACAGATTGTGAACAAGGTGAGATAGGCGAGGTCAGGGCCGGGTCTGTAGTGCATTGAGAACAGTCTCTCAGTACCCAAACATTTTGAAATTGTATTCTAAACATGTCCTTCTTTAGATTGATCAGCTTCCCTGTTTTCACCAAGCTTTGGGTCCGTGTTTAGAGGCACAGGGTGCAGGAGTCCTGAAAGACTGCAGAGCTCGCCTCTGTGTTTGTTTTACTTGCTTTAATGGGAGGAGCCTCTTCCACAGGCTCACAGGGAAAGGAAAGAAAAAGAAAGAAAGAAAAAAAGAAAGAAAGAAACAAAGAAAGAAACAAAGAAAGAAACAAAGAAAGAGAAAGAAAGAGAGAAAGAAAAAAAGCACGAGGCGCCTACTCGTGGCTGTGATTCTATTCTAGCTAAGCCTCTTGGCCCTTCCTGAGGGCAGTGCTGGAAGCCGGAGTGTGGACACAGCCGTGGTGTGCCCACCTGCGTGCTCTTCCACCCACCCGAACTAACTCGCAGGCTCCCTGTTCTGCAGGGAAATGCAAAAAAGGCATTTGGGTCTTGGGGCTCCCCACTCATGCTCACTATGCTGGACCTGGGCCGCCTGCCGGCCCCCAGGCTTCAAGGCCCAACCGGCTCCAGCCCAGAGCCCACCAGAGGAAGGACTGGGAACTCCATCTCGGCCCAGTCCTCTCCCCGACTAGCCTAGAGGCACAACGTCTGACCCCTGGGCTTGGGTGACAAACCCTCTCCCCATGCCCCCTTGCTGTGGGATGTGCCCACGGACAAGGCCAGCCCTCTCCCACCTGCTGGGACGGCACTTTTCCCACCACCGGACAAACTTCGCCATATTAAATCCAGGTTCAAAATGAGAGCGCAAACTGCCTCCCAACACAGATGTTTCTGGTGCTTACAGATTTACTACAATGCAAATGCTCAGATGGCGCGCACGACCTACCCCGATGGCCTGGAAGTTGTGCTGTTTCCCAACAAGCAGACAGGTGAGTGACATCACCAGGAACCCGTGCGGGCTCCTTTGCGTGCACGTGTGTGGAGATGTGGACACTCGCAGTTTATCAGGTACTTGAGCCCTGTAGGCAAGTTCCCACAGATAACTGTGAGGATGCTGTGTCCCCATGCTGACAGGGGACTGGGCCGATGTGGCGTTCCCAGTCCTTCATCTGGTGGCTCTGAGCTGGAGCTTGCTGGGCCTTGCAGCCTTGGGGGCCGGCAGGGGGTCCAGGTCCAGCATAGTGAGCACGAGTGGGGAGCCCCAAGATCCGAGCAGCTGCCCAGATAATTTGGGGCTCATCCTGCTTAATGCATGCTTTCCTGGTTCTTATCCAAGAGCTGTGAGCCCACGGCTTCCGTGTGGGTGTGTGAGCACACCCAGGTCTGGACACCTCCGTAAACGCCATCAGACCTCAGTTGAGGACGTGTGTTTCAGCTCTTCTGGGTGGGCCTGGCTACATAGTCAGAGCGGCAACGGAGACAAACGGGTGTTACCTGTTCGCACGGCACAGCCAGCTCATGGTCCCAGGTGCCACCAGATGGTTTCCCGGAATCTCGCCTAGACTCGAAAATCCAGTCCTCTGGGTGAACTAGAGTTTTCTGGCTTTGTGACTTCGCTTTACCCTGTCATGATGTCACTTCATCTCTCTCATTTTGAATCCCTGTTTTCTTCATGCTTGTATTTGAGCATGCTCACCCGAGAACCCAGCTCTCAGATGCTGCAGCCCATCCATGGTTCTCCCATTCAGAGCCACTCAGCTTCATCATCACCACCATCAACATGACACTACCGTCCACCTGAACTTTGAATGGAATTT